AAAAGATATTTTGGAATTATATAAATTGTTGTGTTTGACAGAATTGAGAACTTTGACTTGTCATAGAAATTCCTTGGATACTATTAGAAATTCCAAAGAATCTACAAGTATATAATTGCTCAATTTTAAATTTAGATAATGTTTTAATATCTTAAAAGGAATTTAGATACATGGAGAAATACTTTGAGAATATTTAGATAATTAAACCTCCTATAATTAAATATGAAATTTAATCTCAAATATAATCCTCTTCCTAAGTTAAAATCATATTCATTTTAAGTTCATTAAAGTATAATAGGTAAAATTTAAATCAAAATTACTCTCTTGAATTTAAGAAGACTGAAGATTTAAAAATGGTGTATGGCAGAAAGATAATTCTATTTGTAGGTTATAAAGAAGTAGAAATAGACTAGAACCCATTTTAAGCCTGATGTAAATTCCTTGAAGTAACAACTAAAACAAGAATTTACAAAGAAATATATGAAAGAATTAAGATTAAAGTAGAAGTAGATAGACATTCAAAAAGAAAAAAATATAAAAAACCTAAGATAAAAAAAAATATAATAATAAGTATTAATTCAAGAAGCTAAGACTAAGGAAAAGAGATAGTATATTGAATCAAGATTTAACTTGTAACAAAATTGATAATATAATCTTGCATAAAAATAAGCTTAATAAGATACATCTCATTTATGATATAGCATTAGGAAATGTTAAAAAATAGAGATATAAGGAAGTAATATCAAAAACTCTTTTGGAACTGAATTAAAAATCGCAAATGATCATCTTAATGTAACTCTCTAATATTCAAATATTTTCTTAACGGTAAAAAATCCCAGAATGTGAAATAACAGAATTCGAATCACCATAATGTTTATAATTTATTAGATCCTTCTTATTTAGAATTAATTTTCCATAATTTTATTTTTGTATCAAATTCACAAATCAAATATTCTTATTTTTAAGAAAATTACAAACTTCAGATAGATTAATCACATGAAATTGTTAAAATTTCTTAAATACTATTTTTTGGTAATATCCAAAAACAGGAAATCTTGATTTCATTCTTCTATCTCATTATTGCTGTCTTTAATACTAGAAGAAAAACTCTTCTATTACCTCAAATTGAAGAAGTCTTTAATATTTAATAATCTTTTTAAAGTTCTGAATGATTAAAACTTAATCACCTATTGATACAATAAAATATCCCTCCTCAGTAATTTTCAAAATTAATTGGGGTTTGTTGACCATCCATTAAAATTTTAGTTTATTCAAGATTTATAAATTCAATCTTTAAATTTGGATTTCCATAATCAACTTCTTTGAAAATTATTTAGGACAAAAGTAAACAGTTAATAATTGTAAAGAATTTGGAAACTATGGATTAGAATATTCAATAATCTTAAAAATTTCATTAAATTCCTTTCTTATTTCATACTTTCTAAAAATATTCTTCGTCTAATACAGTAGATATAATATAGAAAATATTTGACTCATCCAAGCTAAATTAAGAAATCTGAAAATCTCCTTCTTAAATTAAAATCTCTTGCTATTATTTCAAAACTATTAATTGACTCATTATCAGTCTTAAGATTTAATAGTTATCATTTAAATTAACAAAGAGTTTTAATTATTGCATTTATATTATTAAGACTTGATATAATTATTTTATCACTATACAATAATACTATTTAATCTTTTTATTTAATTATAATAATTTAAGTAAAATAAGATTCAAATACAAATTATAATTACTTTTTCCAAGTAGAGTTTATTTATTACCAAAAAATTATAATATTACATTCATTTACTGATAATTATTATTTACTATTATATGAAGATTTAATCATTTTGATTTAATTCAAATGTCCAATAAAATTATCATTTTAGTTGTTTGATAAATAATTGAATTTAATTTATTTATCATAACCTAAAAAGACAATACTATCATATTTTATACAAATATTATTAATAGAAAATTTACAGATTTCAAATTCTTAATACTTTTCACCTATTTTATACAAATCAGAATTTTAAATATTACAAGCTATTTTTTCACCATTTTACATCTATCATCAGAAATAGAAGTAAAATATCCTGATGGGTTAAATTATAATTAAAATATATATAAAAACTACTCTTTTAGTCTATAAAATAAATTGTTTCGTGTGAATGATCGAATTTCTGATGCTAATCATTTAGAACAAAAAGAACACAATATACATAATGTTCTTTAAAAATAATAGTAAAATTTTGTCTATTTTTAAAATGATACATAAATTATTACTACAAAATATAATAAAGCCATCTTCCTTGAAGCAACCTAATTTACACTATTCAATATTTTCGATTATTCATTCAGCTGAATGTTCAGTAATTTAATATATTTGTCATAACTTGCAGAAAGCCAATATTTAACATCATGTGAAAAAAATAATTAATTGAAAATCCATCTTTGACCTTCAAATACTGTTATTTTCTTTTAGCATTCACATTCCACCAAAATATCTTTTAATTTTCACTTCTGAATGTAAGATCCTTTTCATAATCTTCTAATACTATTAGGTCTATTATTTTCGTATTTTTCAAAATTTTTTAGTTAAATGCTTTTATCAAGTGTTAAGATAATTCAATTAAATTATTCTACGAATTCTAATCTATATATCAAAAAATTTTTGAACTTTTGTAATAATCGTTGTATTGTTAATGATATTACAAAAAAATATTTTTTTATTTAGGTTTCTTTAATTATTACCATTTAGGCTATTGATATCAATTCACATTTATTATCCTAAATTTCTCTAAATACATCACAATGATTAAACTAGAGGGATGAGAAGAAATCGGAAAATAGAGCACTCATTTTTAATAAACTCTCGTAATATACAAAAGATTTTACTCATTATCAATTAATAACAAATCACTAATTTTCTATCCTCTTACAATCTTCCAGAAGTCTGTAAAAACTGGATTTCTTTAGAGAAATTTATACTATTCTATGATGAATCTTCAGAAAGTTTATAATTATTAATCATCTATTTTATTATTTTTATTTTAAAATCTTAACTGATTCTTTTATAATAGTTATATAAAAGATATTCCATCTGGACAAAATTTACATTATGGGTACTAGGAAAATGAATGTAGATTTTCTAAAAATATTTACAATCTGATTTATTAAAATTAAAATTCTTAAAATCATATATTATAATTTCAGTATAAAATTTTTCAAGCGCAAAATCCTTTAAATTTTAATTTCTATTAATTACCATCAAATTCAATATAAGTATATTTTTTAGTGAAAAAATATACTATTAATAATTGCATAATATTTCAAGTTTCTAATCTTAAAAAACAAAACAAAATTAGCTTTAGAAAATAGTTGAACAAGATAGAATTATTAAATATTAGAAAAAACAAATCCAAGAATAATAGTAAGTAGTTCGATGGAGAAGATAATTGATTTTCATCCTAACTAAAAGCTAAGGCTTGAATTATTTCTGTATGTCCTATTAAATCTCCTTAATTCTGGTTTTTGATATCGTAATATTGTCTTCTAAATTTAAAACGCATCTTTAGTTATTTAATTTAATTCTAAACTGAAGGCTAAAATTTTAATAACCTCACAATAGACTATTAAGAGTTTGGAATAAATAATAAGTAGTGTACTTCTCTTAAGGATATGCTCCTTTATCTTTTTATTGTAAAAATAGAAATTTAGCTCTTTCAATAAACTTTGAGATTACTTTGCAAAGACATTAAAAAGGTTTATTAAGCTATATTTTCCACAATATTTATTTCTATTCTTCTTTTATAAGAAACTCAAAAAGCTCTCAATATTTCTGCTTTATTTAGAGAGACTTCAAAATATTTTATGCTTTGTGAGGGTGAAGAAATTATAAAAAAAAGAATCCTAACTAAAATAATTAAAACTATGAAATTTTAATAGTTTTGACTAATATAAAATTTTTGATTTTACAATCAGTCAAGGTGTTTATTATATATAAATTATGGAATTTAACCAAATTATACAATGTGGGATACCAATATTAAATAAATTCAAAGAATTTTAATACATTTTGATGGAACACA